GCACTAGCCAGCGAGAACCAGAACGACTACATGCGTCTGGATTCGGACGATGACACCGAAGATGCATCTGTATTCAGTGACGATGATGACCTGGGGCCATCTGAAGCTGCTATTGAGAGTAATGGTATTGCTCCAGACTTTCATTTTGACCCGAAACTCCTCAATGCAATTGGTGGGGTGACCGAGATTTTACGGGGCAATGTAGACAAGACTTTACTGAGCGATATGAAGTTCAAGGGCTGGACTGATCCGAGCAACGTGACTCTTTATCCTTACATGGATGAGCCTCATGAGGCTCGGCCTGATAGCTGGATGTCAGAAGACTATCCTGGAATCTACGATGGTGACTACGGACCTACTCCTGGTGCGCTCAACGCTGCTAAAACACCGGCTGGTGCATTTTTCCGACTTGCACCCCCAGACATGTAGGAAACTATTGCTGGAGCAAGTGATGACTATTTTGAGGCGAACCTCGACAAGAGAGTGGCTGTACAGCATGCAAAGCAGCAAGCTCGAATTCGGAAACACAGAGACTTCCAAGATCAACCACCCAAGCAAATAAAAGAGGCACTCAACACTTTAATAGCACTTTTAACATGAAATGCGGTGGAGGCGCTTCCATCTCATTGGTCAAAATGACGTCGAGACTCGCTTCCATTGTGTGGTTGTGCGTGAATTGATGCGAGCATTCACTCAGAAGACCAACAAATAACAGCAGAAAGTCATACCTGGCAGTGAAAAGTCAAAACTGGCAGCAAAAAGTCAAAACGGGCAACAGAAAAGTCAAACCGGGCAACAGAAAAGTTGCCTGGCGTATCACCTTCGGTGATACCGCGACGCTTCGCGTCCACATCTAATTCCGTCCTGAATTCATCGCTCCGCTCCAAATTCTAACACGATAGGTTGTCTGGCGTATCACCTTCGGTGATACTGCGACGCTTCGAGTCCACATCTAATTCCATCCTGGATTCGTCGCTTCGCTCCGAATTCTAACACGAAAGGTTGTCTGGCGTATCACCTTCGGTGGTAAATACGTGCTTTTTCTGACATTTTTATTAGGAGCGAAGCGACGAATCCAGAACTGGAGTTTTTGCTGAAAACGTATGTATTTGGAATATTTTATTTTACATACGACTTTTATATAACATTCGGAGCGTTGTGATGAATTCAGAACATGATATTGTCAAAATACGTGTAAACTGAAAAGTTTTATTTTCATACTTTTTTGGTCGAAAGTCAAAATTCGGAGCGAAGCGATGAATCCAGTACGTTGTTATAATGTGTGTGAATTCAAATACGAAATTCGGAGCGAAGCGATGAAT